CTTGTTCTTAGTCTCAGCCAACATTCTGTCAGCATTGAGGGGCCATATTTCCTAGGCCACAGCCTCAACCTCAGGATCTGGTAGCAGTTGCTTATATCACTCCACGGGGCTTATACAGTTGCCTCAATTCACTGAGACACAATAGGATTTGACTGTTTGGGTGGACTATATAGTTGCCCATTGAGGAAGGAAGGGAGGAAAGGAAGAAGGGAGAGAAGAAGTGACAAATAATGTTTATTGAGTGTTACTTTTATAGCTGCATTTGTGAGTTATTCTTTTTTTAAAAAAAAAATTATTTATTTATTTATTTATACAAGCACTGGGTACAGTCAGAGGCACGGGGGGGTGGGGGGTGGTGCGAGAATTCACCAGAGCCAGAGCGGGGAGCAGAGCAGGCAGAAGGATTGAGGTACACTGCTGAGGGGAGCAGCGGGCGGCAAGAGAGGTCTGCACGCCATGTGGAACCCTCACCCAGCTGCCAGGGATCGAACTGGCACTGCAGCGGCTGCAGGCAGCTTTGCAAACCAGCGCTCAACTGCTGCGCCACGGGGGAGGCCCTGTGACTTATCCTTAATGAACTTGAGAGGAAAAAATATCCAATAGAAATGAAATAATTTTAAATGTAGTGAGAAAATGATTGAAGGGGTCTGTCTGAGATGCCTGTAATCCACAACCCCGTAGGTTGACAAAGTAAATTTGGCTATAGGAGAATTGTTCTTTTCCTCCCACATCAATGCATTGTATGCTTAGAAGAAAATCTTATTAGCAAAAGACAAGTGCATAAAAGTGGTAAGGAATTTTATACATGATGTATACTGAAAATAATGAAACAAAATTTCATAGTAATCTACTTTAATATCTACTTTCATTCCATCCAATGTGACATTCACATAAATAAGTTTGCTGCCTCAAATACCTTTTTAAGAGTAAATGGAGTACCCCAAATGAGCATACTTATGGGCATGCTCGGGGAAAATGTTCTTTGCTGTATGAATGCCAGGTGGCAAATAGCTATCTGTAATGGTGGACACAAGGTTAGTTCTCAGTGACTGATTTGGCCAGGAAACATAACCCATTATGCATTTTTATGGATGAAGACTGTGCTTTCAAATTATCTTATAATATTAAATTAGGCAGAGTTACTGATGTTCTAGGAAGCAGGTCTAAAACTAAAAATGACCTTGGAAAATAAAACGCAAAAACAAAAGGTCCTAAAGAAAAATGGTGAAATCAAATAAGAATAAGTAAAACCAAAGACCAGCCCCTTGAAAAATTGGGGGCAGGGGAAACTGGGTGTACAGTTGACTAAGAAACAGCAATGCTATTTTACCTGAAAAAAGGTTCAAGAAATAATGGTACTTAGAGTAAGACTATATCACCCAAAGATGATAGGTGATAGGCATGAGAAGAAGAAGAAGAAGAGAATGGAGAACTAAGAATAAGACAACACATCACTTAAAGATAACACTGACACAGGTCACTGACATGAGTGGTAAAATGCCATGTTCATGTTTGTATTTCATAATGAGAAAAGTCCCCTGGGGAAACCATTTAATATATAGCACCCTCCTGTAACATTCTAACCTGCTTTTCTTTGTTCTGTTAAAAAGGAGGAAAAGAAAGAGGGAAAATGAGTGCAAAGCTTTTTTAACCTTAAAGCAAAATTTCCCTGATAATGATTTTCTTGCTGCATCTTCAGTGGTTCCTGAGTCTACAGTAAGGCCTATTTGCATTTACCTTTCTTCCTTTGACATTCTTTTTTTGCCATATTTTATCAGAATGCTTCATTCAACCTTTTTCCCTTCCCTGAAACAATACACTCAAAGATGACCAGTGTTTCTTATTGCTGGTTGTGAGTTGTAAGAGTGTTCCCTGTGTGATTCTCATTTAGAAGTAAGCAATTGCTCACTGGTCTATCACTGCACAGTCTGACTTTCTTCTTCCTCCTCCCAAAAATATTACATGGTGATAACTCTTACTCTCTGTTTCTGTCCTTCATGACTTCTTTATGGACCCAACCCAACTAAGAATTGAGCCCCAGAATCCTGACCCTGTCATTTTACATAATTTCAGAGAATTCATCCACTCCCCTGGCTTCTCAACTATCACTTTTTTTCGGTCACTTATTTTTATATAATTTCAAATTTAGAGGAAAGTTAAAGAATAGCACAAGGAATTCCCATGTAATCTCTACCCAGACTTACCAAATATTTACCATGTGAGAATACCTGCATATGTTGTGCCCCCTTTTCTCCAGAGCGTTCAATGTGTATTTCCTAAGGACAAAGTCACATAGCTGTGGTACAATTTTCAACCTTAGGAAAATTGACAGTATAATTATGTAATATACAGCTCACATTCAAGTATCATCCACAGTCCCAACGATGTTCATTATAGCTGTTTTTCCCAGTGATTACTGCTGTGCATGGGGCACTGATCTCTCCAGGCCATCTGTCTGACAGCATTACCTTCCAAATAAACATTTTGTACTGATGTCATCTCAGATTAAAATTGTCTAAAATATGATTCATTATACACACGCCCATCCTTATAACAAGTACCTCCTCCCCTAACCCCCCATCTCCCTGTCTTTTTTCATTCTTTTTAGTGGTGTTAAACTTTCCCAAAGCCATCTAGCTTTGAAGCTACGGAGCATCTTTGATTCTTTATCCCCAGTTAGCCAGAAGGTCCATGAAGTCCTTCCTGTGAGGTGTCTATTCCAGTCAACAGGATATCCATCTGTCTGTCTATCTATCTATCTATCTATCTATCTATCTATCTATCTATCTATCTATCTATATCTATCTATCTATCTATCTATCTATGGATCAATTTGTTATAAGAAATTGGCTCATGCAATTATGGAGGTTGAGAAGTCTCATGATCTGCTTGCTGCAAGTTGTTGATCAGAAAAGTGAGTGGAGTAATTAATTCAGTCTGTCTGAAGGCCTGAAAATCAGAAGTACCAAGAACAGGATAAGGTTAATTTCTCAGCTCAAGCAGTCAGGCAGGAAAGGGCCAAATTCCTAGTTCCTCTGCCTTTTTCTTCTATTCAAGCCCTCAATGGATTGGATGCTGTCCGTTCAAATTTGGGAGGGCAAACTGCTTTGTTGAGTCCACCAACTTAAATGCTAATTTCATCTGGAAACACCTTCACAGACCAAGTCAGAAATAATGTTTACCCAAATATCTGGGTGTCCCATGATCCAGTCAAGTTTAACATAAAATTAGCTATTCCACCAATTAATAGTCATTCTTTATTCGTCCTTCTCTTCCATCCCCTGGCAAAGCTACTTTTTGTCTCATGGACTTGATTATTTTGGACAGTTCATCTAAGAAATCATACAATGTATGGTTTTTTTGGTTTAACTCCTTTCCCTTAGCATAAATGATGCTTTGAAGATTCAGCTATGCTACAGCAGCTATCTATATTTTATTCCTTTTTTTGCCAAATAATACTTGTGTGGATAGACCACATTTGCTTATTCATCCATGAATTTATGACATGTGAGTTGCTGAAATCCAGTTCTAATCACAGTTTTAGAATGTAGTACTTCCTAACTTTAGTCTGTAGTACCTTCTGATGCCAGAATCCCTTTTCTCAAACAACATATTTAACCTTGTCTGTCACTTCATCGAAATAAACCTTCCTGTCTGGATAGGATATACTAAAGGAAGACTTTGCCCTTATGTTGAAGCTCTCTACCTCTTTTTTAGTTTGACCACAACTTGGGTAGAAATGAGTAGATCCTGCCTTCCTCTGAGAGGGCAGTTTGGGCCAGTGATGCTCAAATCTTGCTTAAAGAGTTTCTATCAATATAATAAGCCACCCTCCCTTCCCAGTAGACCCCAGTGGCAAAAAACAAAAGCCAAATCCTTTTTAGAAAATGACACATATTATATAGTTTTAGGATTTAGGACTTAATTGTTTAGATTTCATTCATTTTCTTTTAATCTCTTACTTATTAAAAATGTCATGAGGGTCCTGGAGGAAAAGTAGGTCTCATGGTTAGTTGGAATTCTGGCTAAATTCCTTAATACTGGTATTTTAAAAAATTCTAAGATTTAAAGCAAACCACCTTTTCTTATATGCAAAATGGGAGTAATAATTCCTACTTCAGAGCTATTACAGATTAAAAGGCATAAATAATCAACTACCTTGCCCAACTCATAATAGGCACTCGGTAAATACATAGACACTAGAATGATTGTTATGATTAAAATTTTCAATAAAGCCAATCTAAGATTAGAATGATTGGAGTTCTTTCATTGTTTAATTGTTTTGGTGATTGTCCTAGTATTTTAAAATTAGTACCGATTTCAAGAAGGAATTATATAATCAGTTCAAGGGCTTTATGTTCCATGTCTGTCATTAACTTTTATATAATCTGAAAGAATCAATATTTTCATTGGGAACTGGTCAATGACAGTGTCTTATTTTATTCCAATAGAAGCTTTTAAAGGTACTAATGATAAATACCTTAAACATTATTTGGGATATGCTAAGGTGAATTTCTGGTAAAAGTGAATCTTTGAGCTTGGCAAACACATTGGGAACTATGACTTGACAGTGTGTGTGAAAGATATAATTTAAGATATTCTTTGGAATAATTGTAACTTGCATTAATTTAAAAAAGGTATTGAATGGTACTTAATTTGTAATACTTTTGGTCTTATGTATAGATAATCATAAAAATAAATTGTTCTTTAAACCATGCATTTACAGATCAGAAAAATTTTACATGTGTAATAACATCATTTTAGTTTTACAAATAAAACAACCATGCACTAGATTCTTCTTTCAGAATTAGAAGCAACTAAAAATTTAAGTGAATTTTTTTCATTGAGGCATGTATTTTTGAGAGATTAAATTAATCAGTTGCTTAAAAATTAGCATTTATCATAGTAACATTAACTCATTGAAGATTACCTTTTGGGAATCACTCCTTTTTACATATTTCAGTTATTCAATATTATTTCTTTTTTTTTTCCCTCCATAGGATTATCCTTGTCAAGATGATTATTCAATAGTCCACAGAAAATGCCGTTCTCAGTTCACAGATCTAAATGGTTCCAAAAGATTTGGTATCAACACTTGGCATGATGAGAGTGGGATTTATGCTAACTCACATGAAAAACAAAAACTCTACCCATTAACGGGTAGTCCTATTGTCCCCTTTTTAAAATAATTAAAGGAGTCAGATTCTCTATTGAAGAAATAATGGATGTAACAATTGATGATGTGTGTCTTAATAACTGCGGTATTGAAACGGTACTTTGAAATGGAAATATTATAAAAACAAAATCTTACATTCTATATTAATGTGTGTATCCTTTTTATAGACATTCTGGTATTTTCCAAAGTTTAGTAAGTGTACAGCTGAAGGTATACTGCACAATTTTAGGTGGTAGTTGTTGGAATGTTATTTTATGAACTGTGTATTTTATTTTTACTAGAAAAATTCATTAATCTAGCACAGTCAACCTTATGATTGATTGTGTGGCTAATTAAAAAAGTAAACTAATTTAAATTCTACTTTTAAATGAATAAAAATAGGAAGTATTCATATTTTACATGAAACTTAAATGGCCAAAGTTTGGGTAACAGTGGTCCCTATAATAATAGTGAGTATGACAGTGGGGGACAGAGGGCTGTGTCTATTTATAGATTTGGATTTATCTATGGTGTCTAGCTGCAATGTATATTATTCAAAATAGTGTTCTAAAAATTATTTTTGAGCTGCCAATTTAGAAAGCTAAAATAAAGTAATTTTTAGTGTAAGTATGCCCCATGCCATATATAATATGAATACTTAGATTTGTTTGACTATTTTTTAAAGATTTATTTATTTATGCATATAAGAACTGGGTTACAGGCCAGAGGTGTGGGGGGTGACAGGGTTCACCAGAGACAGAGTGGGGAACAGAACAGGCAGATTGACTGAAATACACTACTGAGGGGAGTAGTGGGCGAGTCAGGAGAGGTCTGCTGCGCCATATTGTTAGTTTCCTGGCCAGGGATCAAACTCGTGCTGCAGTGGCTGCAGATAGCTTCATAGTGCTGCATCTTAACCCCTTGCACCACTGGGGAGGGTCCCATATAAAGATTTGTTTGAATTGCACATTTTACTGTGTGTCTTGTATTTTATCTGGCAACTCCACTCTAATTTCCCTTTGGTTTAGTCAATGGGAGAAGGTAATTTAAGAAATGAGAGTGCAGTCAGAGTATTTTCCTGCTTTGTGCCTTCTTGACTGGTTGACACAGGCTGGTTTTGTCCATTGACAGAAGGTAAGTTCTCTCTGTTCCTGAATTCCAGAAACCTTTCCTTTCCCAAGTTTCTTCTTAACTACGGATGGTAAACACTTTTGGCCTCCCTAGTGGTATAGAGGTTAAAGTCTTAGCACTATCAAGATAATGCCAGCCACTGCAGCACATGAATTCAATCCCAGGCCAGGGACCCACATATGGCGCAGCAGACCTCTCCCATCCCACCTGCTGCTGCCCTCAGCAGTGTATTTCAGTAGGTCCACCTGTTCTGCTCCCCACTCTACCTCTGGTGAATCCTTTTACTCTCTGCACCTCTGGCCTACACCCCAGTTCTTGTATCCATTAATAAATAAAAATAAATCTATTTTTTAAAAAGAAGGTAAATACATTAACATCCATACTCTTTGACCCTCCTTAACACAGTACCTGGTTACTACCTTGATCCTTGTCACTTCTCTACTTCCTTTTCATACTTCCCACACCTTTTGAATAGCATATTTATTAAATGCTTCTCAAATAACTCAGATTGAGCATGCTATCTACTTCATGATTGGACCCCTAAACAAATGACCTTTTTGAGGCCTAATCACAAATGTCTTTTGGACCCTGACACTTTCAGTTTCCCATAGCTTTAGCAGTGTTGGCTGGAGATTCCTTTGGTGAGCCATCGAGGTACTGCCCTCCCCTCTTCAATGCTCCATCACTGGCATGGCTTTCTTCCTCTTCTTCTTCCTCTTATAGCTAATACATTGTTGTAAATTTATCATCTTTATGTAGCACTGTGATTTTTTTCTTTTATTTACCATAACACCCATCAGAGAAAATCTCAGATGTATGACACAACGTTTTTGGTTGTGCCCAGAGTGTCCTGAGATCCCAAGAAATTATTTAGGAAATAGAAGAATAATTGTGAAAAGATTATTGATTTTATGTGTCAATTTTACTGGGCATCTTGTCCAGATATTTGACTAGACACTATTCTGGGTGTTTCTGTGAGGGTGTTTTTGGGTGAGATTTATATTTAAATTGGTGGAGTTTGAATAAAAAAGATTGCCTTTCATAATGTGTGTGGGGCTTATCCAATCAGTTGAAGGTCTAGAAATAATAAAAATGTTGAGCTTCCTGAGGCAAAAAGGAATTTTGAAATAGACTTCCTTCTATAGCTTCAGCTACAACATCAACTCTTCTCTGGGTCTTCAGCTTGATGGTCCACCCTGTGGATTTTAAACTTGGCAACATTTGTATCTATCTTTCTCTGTCCCTCCTGCTCCTCCTCCCTCTCCCCCTTTCCTTCCCCCTCCCCCTCCCCCATCAACATCTATCTAACCCTATATATAAGAGAGAAAACGTGATATATTAACATCCTATTGTTTCTGTTTCTCTGGAGAACCCTAATATAATAGTACATTGAATGCTGGGGTGGGAGGGCAAAGAAGATGGGGATGATAGTCAGAAAATCATTTTACAAAAGTGTATGGCATGGATTAGATTACCTGCAGATTACACAGAGTTTTGTTTAGGGTTGGTTTAACTGCATTGCTTTCTCTTCCCTAGCAAAATTCTCAAAATGCAGGCTAATTAGAATGATGCTATTATGGGTTTACATTAATTTATGTATATTTTCCTGTAGGAAACAAAAATATTAAACCAGTTTAAGCAATAAGCACATTTATGATTGCCCCCTATCTCTATGTCTGTGTTCCATGGTTCTCTTGCCTCTTCCCTCTTCACATTGGCTGCATGATGGGTAAAGCTATGCAGAGGTTTTCCAGATTTTCCAGACATGAAAATATCCAGGGGGAAAGGAATGGCTGTCACTTTTTGAGAGCATTTCTCAGGGGCTGGGAAACCTTTCGTGGATGCCTTCTCCGTGTAATCCCAGTGGCCAGAATCGAGTCATGTGTACATTCTTGAAGCAATCCTGGTAAGGAGAATGCCATGATTGTCTTACATATAGCAGAATCTCCTTCTGAGCTGAGAAAGGTTTTAGGTTTCTCTGTCTCCTGTTGTGTGAACGAATACCTGAGAAAAGGCAGGGAGATTTGGGCTGGTAGCCAACAAAGTAAACTAAAGGGGTCATGTGGATGTTGGCTGCCCCATTTTTTCTTGAAAACAGAACCTGTCATGTATTCTGTAAAATAAAACATCAGCTTCTTAAAAAAAAAAAAAAAAGGAAAAATCACAATGAGTATGTTGTTTTTTCTTTCCATTTTTTTAAACCTCAGTTCTGGAGCATGAAATGAGGTATATCACACAGCATGAGACAGTTTACTTGAAAACACTCCATTAAACATTTCTGCTCTTTCATTTCTTCCTCTTCCTCCTCTCTGGTATCCATCTTTCTGTTCATCCAAACCTTCACATTCTGACACTTACAGCTTCTCTCCCATTCTTTATTTGAGGAGAAAACTCACACACTTTTCCTTTTCTCAGGTGGGGAAATTCTACCTATTACTATTAACTTGAGAAACTGGAAGTAAGTCTCCACCCTCAGAGAAATTATCAAAGTATATTTTCATTCACCAGTTACTAAGAAAGAGATTTTCTTCACTTTGTTTTGTAGAGAAGTCTGTAATGGCCTTTATTTTCTTTGAAAGAGAAAATCTCTTGCAAACATGGTATCTTAACTAATATTAATAAAAAGATGTCACAAGTAATTATAACAACATAGTGCTGTGTGATAACTTTCTGATCAGTCAATAATAATCTGTAATCTTTGGCCTGCCCTCTCTTCTGAGCTTGAGTCTTATATATACCACTCACATATCCCAGGCAGTAAAGTAACTTCACTATGTTCAAAGTTGAATTAATCTTTCATTGTAAATTGGTCTTGCTTCCTGTTGTTTTTGACTATATAATACATAACTATCCTTCCACCAGTCATTATAAAGTTCCTTTCTCCTTTGCTCTTTTTTTTTTTTTTAAAGATTCGTTTATTTATTTATACAAGCACTGGGTACAGTCAGAGCGCCGGAGGGTGAGAGAATTCGTCAGAGCCAGAGCAGGCAGAAGGACCGAAGTACGCTGCTGAGGGGAGCTGCGGGCGGCAGGAGAGGTCTGCGCTCCGTGTGGGACCCTGGCCCTGTGGCCAGGGATCGAACTGGCGCTGCAGAGGCTGCAGGCAGCTTTGCAACCCAGCGCTCAGCCGCTGCGCCACTAGGGAGGCCCTCTCCTTTGCTCTTTACTTTATCCTAACATTTCCCAAAATTTGGTCTGGAGTGTTAGTAGGTGTCCCTTATATAAAGTATTGTATAACCAAATGCATTTGGTAAATGTGTCTACCAGATCCCTATCGTGGAACATTACACTGTTCTTTCAAACACTGAAGACCCTGAGGAATTCTGTGAAATAGAAGGCAGTTAAACCTTATTTAATTCATGAATTCCTAGGCTTATTTCATTATAGAATCTTTCTTGCAGAGACTTTAATATATCTTGAGTTAAAAGGAAAACATAAATATAAGCAATTTCTAAATAAAGGTGGGTGACAAAACATTCATTGAGTGTCTAGAAAGTACCACATGCATAGGTAAAGTAGATTTCCTTTTTATCCCAGTTCTACTACTAAGGGAAAAAACAACAGCAGCCAAGTACATCTTTTGTAAACAGACTTAGACATAAATCCAACTTCATGATGATGAGGTAATGCATATGCATAGGTCCACCTTAAAAGTTATGGAAACTGGAATGCAAACATTCTACACTTTCTTCCTTATCTTTCTAAACAATGGATAATGACTAACTTTTACTTCATATTCTTAAAAATACCTGTGTCATATTTTTTTAAGACTTTCATTAAATACCATTAGGGGCCTTGGGTTTCGACTCTCATTTTATGATTGTCAAAATCCAGTATTTGTAGGTTGTAATTATTTTATTCTGTATTATACCACCAGACTAAGGACTTAACAGGAATCATTTTACCTTAGCCCTTAATGTGTTGTTCATATAGGCGCCTAACAAATGTTCATTTATGCACCAGTGAGATTCTGTATGTTCTTAGCCCAACTTCAAGAACCATCAGAAGAAATTGCATATAATTAAACTTAATTAAAGACTATACA